GGACTTCCTGGGGTCGGCTGAGTACCAGGATAAGCTTGCCATATAGAGGGTCGAGGGGTACTTTGATCTCATTGAGAAGGCGGGAGAGAAGTACCCTTCCCTAGACTGGAGCTTTCTTGGTGAGGAGGCGAAAGAAGCACCAGCAGAGCAGGTGGGAGGAGAAGGTACAACTACTGTTGTTACTCCTGATGCTAGGCAGGTGGTTCAAGGTGCCGACCCAATCCAAGGTGATGATCCGATCTCCCAAAGTGAAGGTCCAAGTGGTGAAGTGGCAGCGACCAACCCCGATGAAGGTGGAGACGCCTAGGTGGAGAGCTTATTTTTTATGTTATGACTTTGTAACCCCTGCAAACACAACTTGGAACAACTTTTGCTAGCCGTTGGTTGGCTCGATAAATGTGGACGTGCTCAGATTTTGACTTTTTAAATTTTGTACACTTGGGTTTTTATTACTTGGTTGTTTTTACAAGTTTTACTTTGGTGGTCAAGCATGTGCGTTGTTTGTGTAAGCAGAGCTGACCAACGGCTGTAAGAGTAAACTACAAGTAACTTAAGACAAGACTATAGAATAAATAAACTACAAGTAACCAATAGGAGAAAATAACGCGTAACTTTCACTAAGTACAAAAGACTGCATTAACTTCAAAAGTCGGGTTATAATGATTTCAAGCTGAGCACAGCACTGGGTTGGGTAGTCTCAATGCTGTGCTCGTGCTCGGAGGGAAAATATAATAGGCGATACGTGGAGACAAACATAGGTAGTGTGCCTGGATGAGGTCACACTCTGCTACCTAAGGATAGTACTTCCTTAGGTGCTCGGCGTTCCATGGATGGGGCAACTTCCTGCCATTTACTTCGGCGAGCCGATACGTGCCTGGTCGGGCAATGTCGAGGACTTGGTAAGGCCCTTCCCAATTAGCCCCCAGAGTACCAGCGGTCCTATCCTTGGTTCCAAGTAGCACTTTGCGGAGAACCAAGTCGCCAGGTCGAAAAGTACACTTGCAAACATGCTGGTCGTAGTATCGAGTTGTTCGTTGTTGATATGTGGCGAGATGAAGGGCTGCTCAAAGTCGATGCTCTTCTAGCAGATCCATGCTAAGGTTGAGTTGTTCCACATTCTACTCAGGTGTGTAATGGGTGACCTTGTGGGTGGGTATGTCAACCTCAATGGGAATTACTGCCTCAGCTCCAAATGCAAGAGAATACAGGGTTTCTCCTGTGGAAGTGCGCTCGGTACAGTGGTAAGCCCACAGAACCTCTGGTAGGAGTTCCGACCAAGCTCCCTTTTTAGCCCCCAACGTTTTATTGAGGTTCGCTTTAGGAGTTTGTTTACCGCCTCGACCTGGCCATTCGCCTGTGGGTGGGCTGAAGAAGAAAATCTGAGGTTAATTTTTAGGCCAGAGTAGAAGTCTCGGAACTTCGCATAGTCAAACTTCTTTCCATTATCGGTGATGATAATGTGAGGGATACCGAAACGATAGATTATATTTTTCCAGACGAAGCTCTATATCTTCGCAGCCGTGATGGTGGCTAACGGTTATGCCTTTGTCCATTTAGTAAAATAATCCACAGCCACGACCGCATGAGCGGTCTGCCTCTTTCCTTTAGGCATAGGCCCAATTAGATCTAGCCCCCACTGCGCGAATGGCCAAGGGCTGGTCATGGTGGTGAGTCGCTCGGGTGGTTGGTGAGGTATGTTTGCGAAAAATTGGCAAGGATGGCAATAGGTGGCTAGGCGCCTGGTGTCGACATTCATGGTCGGCCAAAAATATCCCCGGTGAACTGCCTTGTTTGCCATGGATTGGGCCGCGGTAAGATTGCCACATATGCCCTCGTGAATTTCCTAGAGGGCTTCGACTCCCTTCTTGGAGGTGACACACAACAATAGAGGCAAAGAGTGGCCTCGCTTGTACAATTTCTGGTTGATGGTGGTATAACGTGTGGCTTTGGCTTGGATCTGCCGAGCATGGACCTTGTCTTGGGGGAGTGAGCCATTGGTGAGGAATGCCCATATAGGGGTCATTCAGGTGGGTGCGTCGTCTATAGCCATGGTGGTGCATTCTTCGCGATTTATGGTCTTCTCGGCTAAATACTCGATGGGAATGTTTATGGTGAGCTCGGTATCGAGAGCAGAGGCAAGGCAAGCCAGTGAGTCGGCCCGGGCGTTCTCAGTGCGCGGAATCTGGGTAATGGAGTGTGAGCGGAAGTAGGAGAGGAGTTCCTTGACCTTCTGGACATAGGCGGTCATGTGCTGTTCCCGAGCCTGGTATTCATCAGTGACCTGATTAACCACAAGCTGGGAGTCACTATGGACACTGATGTGCTCAGTCCCCAACTCCTTTGCCAAACGCAAGCCTGCAAGGAGTGCCCCGTATTCCGCTTCATTATTCGACGCTCGGAATCGAAACTGTAGGGCGTATTCCACCGTGATCCCACCAGAAGATACCAAAACAAGGCCTGCACTACACCCCTGTAAGTTGGAGGCACCATAAACAAATAAGGTCCATTGTGGCCTGGTCGGGTTGGTGGGCAAGACGTTATCCGGTATGGTCGGCTCAGAGGCAGGGACTGGGTTCAAGGTCTTTGGTATGCTGGGGTTGTGTGCTGATGTTGTGAATTCTGAGATGAAGTCAGCAATGGCTTGCGCCTTCATGGCTGTGCGCGGTTGATAGGTGATATCAAATTCTCCCAGTTCTACTGACCACTTGATGAGGCATCTGGAGGTCTTGGGTTTTAATAGGACCAGGTTCAGTGGCTGATCAGTTAGGACTAGGATGGAATGGGCCTGGAAGTAGGGACGCAGCTTCCGAGTTGAGGTTATCAGGGCTAAAGTTAGTTTCTCAATTTCCAGGTATCGAGTCTCTGTATCGAGCAAAGCTTTTCTCACATAATAGATTGGGTGTTGTATTCTGTCTTAGTCTCGGGTAAGTAGAGAGCTAATTGCGGATGAGGAGATAGATAAATATAGCAATAGTGTATCCCCGACCTCGGGTTTGGATAATATCAAGGCCTGTCCCATATGTACTTTTAAACTCTCGAAAGCCGATGTGCATTTAGGTGTCCAATCGACTATCTTCTTATTCCCCTTGAGCGCCTTAAAGAAGGGAAGGCATCGATCAGTGGCTTTGGAGATGAATCGGTTCAGTGCCGCTACACGCCCTGTCAAGCTCTGGACTTCTTTCCTCATCTTGGGTTGGGCCATGCTGATAAGAGCCTGGATCTTTTCTAGGTTGGCCTCAATGCCTATGTGACTGACGAGAAAGCCCAAGAACTTGCCTGAGCCAACCCCGAATACACATTTGGCCGGGTTTAGTTTCATGCCATATGCCCTTAAGATGGCGAACGTGGCTACTAGGTCAATGACATGGTGGTCGGCTCGGATGCTTTTTACCAACATATCATCAACATAAACCTCCATACTTTTGCCTATCTAATCGGTGAACATTCCGTTGACTAGGCGTTGGTACGTTGCCCTCGCGTTTTTGAGTCCGAACGGCATGACCTGATAGCAGTACGTGCCGCGGTCGGTGATGAATGAGGTGTTTTCCTGGTTGGCCGGGTGCATACGAATTTGGTTATACCCGGAGCAGGCATCCATAAAACTTAACAACTCATGCCCGGCCGTAGCATCAACCAGCTGATCGATCCTTGGCAAGGGAAAACTGTCTTTGGGACATGCCTTGTTGAGGTTTGTGAAAAAGACACACATCCGCCATTTATCTTCCGTCTTCCAGACCATGATGGCGTTAGACAACCATCTAGGGTAATCCATTGGGCGAATGACAGCATCATAAGCCCGCCGTTTCTGCCGAACGGGGCGATGCTGTGGATCAATGCTAAGGCGGTGGGTGATGATGTCCGGGCTAACTCTGCGCATGTCCTCGTGACACTAAGTGAAGACATCTGCATGCTCTGCTAAAAAACTGACAAGCTATTGGCGAACCAGAGGTAGGAGTTGGGAACCAATCCGTATTAGCCGATCCGGGTAGTTGGGAAAAGGTGCTATGTGCTCTAGGTCTTCGACTAATTGTGGGTTGATGGGACTGATCTCTCCTCGTGGGTCAATGATAGCCGATGAGGTGGACAAGTGATCGGCTTCATGAGTTTCTACACAAAATGCCTCGTAGGTCAACTTGGTTTTTAACTTCATCGAGGAGGCGTAGCACGTCCGAGCTGACTCTTGGTCTTGATTAGGAACGCTCTCATATTGATTGACAAATTCAAGTCACCGATAGCGGGATGACCGAGAATGACGTTGTAGCAAGAAGGACACTCAGCTATGATGAAATCTGTCAAAATGCTGGCCCGCTTCTGGTGGGCTTCTGTGGACAAGGTCAAAGGCATGTGATCAAGAGGTTGTACATGCCCCCCACCGAAGGCTATGAGTGTAGGGCAACGTTAGTCGAGGAGATTCTCACTAACCCCCAACTGCCTAAAGGCATTGAGGAAAATGATGTTGACAGAATTGCCCCTGTCCAGAAATACCCGAGCTACCTCGCAATGGGCGATCTCGACTGTGATGACCAGGGGGTCGTGATGAGGGAAAGTGACTCCCGCCGCATTGCTTTGGGAAAATGCGATCGGCTCTAGTTCCAATGTGGGTCGGGTGGGCGGGTTTTCAACTGTATCCATTGCCATGATCTCGGTAGGTTCGTGCTGGTAGGCCCTTGCATATTTTTTATGGTTCTATTGGAGTTGCCAGCCACAATAGGTCTCCCCGATATGGTGGATATGTTCACCCGGGACACCCCCGGTTTGTCGTTGATCTTGGTTCGTGCGTGTGTGTCCATGGGTGCTGCTTCTCCCGTGACATATTCTTTTAATTTCCCCCCACCTTATCAGCGCTTCTATCTCTTCCTTCAATTGGTAGCAGTCATCTGTGTGGTGACCATAGTCGCGGTGGTACTTGCAATACTTGCTATCATCCCTCTTTCCGCGGTAAGGAAATCTCACCCCTTTGATTTATTCAAGGGGGTATAATTTGTATACTGGTTATGTTTTTATGGTCTGATATGATTCTTCCGAGCCAAGGATCCCAATTTTCCCTTCTTTCTTTTCGATGAGTGATCATAGGCGTAGTCGTTGGGCCTCTTATCCCTGGGCTGGTACGGTGTGTGAGCTTCCGAGGCCGACCCTACAGTGGCCTTCCTCGCTAGGTTTAACTGCTCGACGCAGGAATAGCTGGTAACTTCGCAGAGGAGGTCTATGGACGTCTTCGGGGGGTTCTTGGTGAGGGAAAAGTTAAAATCTTCTCCCTGGAGTTCGCCCATCAGAGCGTTGTGTGTTGTGGCCTCATCGCATCCCTCACAGCGTGCATATTCGTTGTTGAACCAGGTAATGTAATCCCTAAGTTTCTCGTCAGGCCATTGTCTGATCGTGGACAAGTCATTCACGGTGTATAGCCAATCAGAGATGATAATGTATCTCTCCAAAAAGACTTTCCGAAGCTCGGCGAAAGAGCTAATGGACTCCAGAACGAGTCGTTTGAACCAACTCGTGGCTGGGCCCTTGAGAGTTGTTGGGAACATGCGGCACTTGATCGCCTCATTAGCGTCGCGTCCTTCCGTGGCATAGCGGAAATTGTCCAGATGGTCATACGGGTCGATTATCCCATTATATAAGGGAATTTTTGGAGCCTTTGAATCCCCCACTACCCGAGCATGTAATAGGTCCCGGGTATATGGTAACGAGATCTCCTCCTCGGTGAACTCTAGTCTCGTGGGCATTTTAGATTTCTCGACTTGGCCGAGCCAATCCCATACGCTCTTCAACTCGCCAATGACCAAGTCTTTAAGCTTGGAGGTGATGTCGTCGACATCTTCCTCGGCTTCCTCCGAGCTGACCCGATTTTTTCCTTTGCGAATGTCTTCCACTAGGCGTTTGTTGCGCTCCCGCCAGGCCTTCTTCTCCTTCAGTATGTTTCTTGCATCGGCTACGTTCTGCCCTGGTGCCTCAGCTACCGCCGATGAGGATGTAGCTCTGCTGGTGTCTGGGGTGTTGGCCGACTCGGATTCCACCTGTTCGTGCACCTGGTTCGCCAACTCAACGTGACTTTCTTGTAATATTTCGTTTTGCGCATGAAGGCTGTTGCTGAGATTCTGTACGTCCTTGACGCCCTTCAAGATCCAGTTCATCTTCTCCTCTAGGGCCCTCAGATGACCCGATCTCAACTTCTCTCTCCTTCACCTCTGGGCATTTCTCCCAACTGCGCTTGAGGAGGCCTTCTTCCTGAGGTGTTGATTTCTCAGCATGGCTTGGTTTCGCTCGTGTTGGTGCTCAGATGGATGAGGGAATGCAACTTCTGTTCGTATCCCACAGACGATGCCAAATATAAACCTCGTATCTTTCTCATATAGATAATTAGTGCTTAGGCTGGGGCCTGAGCACGTATCTAATCTTGTGGTAGAGCTATCTCTGGGAGAAGATCTGCACAATTGGAACACTATCAGAATAAGAGCAAACTAGGGGTGATCCCAGTTGAACCCCTCTCCGATGATTAAGTCTGAAACTGGTTGAGCTAAGGAGAATGGATGTAGGGTTTTCACAATGAGAGTATTTATTACCTTTGTCCAAAGATTGATGAGGGGTATTTATAGGGGGAAGATAGTGATCATGATATTTAGTGAAAGAGATCTTTATCCTCTGGATTGTGTTACATTTAATGTTCTGCCTCTGATCATCCTACTTCCTTAACAGGGATTAGGATGGTGAAGTGACAGGCAACAAGGATGGGAGGTGTATTAAATATTCTCTCTCCATCACTAGCCTGTCCACTTGGAGATCGAAGGGTACGACGACCTCTGGCTAAAGACGGGATGTGCATCAATCGACCTTTCCCCCCTGCCAAGTTGTTTCATTAATGCCCTACTAGTTTGGGATAGAGAGCCACAGTGATTGGGTCGGTGACTACTGGTCCAGCCCCTGTTCCGTCATACCTTTCTCCGAGAAGTTTGTTTGTTGATGCCGAGGGGTATGAGATGTGGTCGGGTCGGTACGTAAGTGACCTAGCCTGCTACGATCACGTGGTGTTTTATAATAGGCTCGGCTCGTAGTGATGGTATGAGCTATCAACAAAATTCAATTCAATAAAAACTTCAATTCATTTCTTCAAAAGAAACGAACCCAAATACCGAAAACAATTTCAAATCCAAATAACACAACAATAAAAAATTCGATTAAACGCAGAAAATAAAACCCTAACCGAATCCAAGCAAGGCCCTTAAACATGAAATCCCATTACACAAACAAAATCAAAACCAAAATCCCAATTAATCCCTAGCTACCCATAACAGCATAAACACAAAAACCCATACCGCCAATGTTCAACTTGAAATTAGAATGGGAATACTTGCTGAAAATGCAAGACCCAAGTGGTTTAATTTGATTTCTGAACTTGCATATCGATTTTCGAGCAAATAACCTCATAATTTATTCCGGTAATTCTACTTTCTCTCTTTCAACCTCTCGTTGATAAGAATGGTGGCTTGGGTTCGTCGGAATTCAAATCGAAGAGAGAGACGGGGAAGAGACAGAAAGGGAAGAGAGGGAGGTGAAAGAGACAAAAAGGGAAGAGGCAGAGAGAGAGTTGGGTTGGGGCGAAATGGAAATTGGACGCACGCACGCATCATGTGCATATTAATTGACGGAATTCATAAATTGGATTTGATTTGACCTAAAGTATAATGACGACAATTTTCGACCCCAGTGACAAAAATGTAATTACCCCTTTTTTCAAACAACACCCAGCCGAGAACCGTTTCTTTTCTTCTTCAGCTTCTCTATCTCTGTCTAAAACCCTACCAACAACCACAAAACCCTAACGACATAATCGACCAGAAGCAGGCAACTAGGGTTTTACGTACAGAATGGTGGCAAAGTGGAAGCAAAAGCAGAGGATCATTCTACCTCCTGAGCTCCCACCGGAGGTCTCGGAGGACGAAATTGAAGTCTCGGACGAGGACAGGGATTTTGTCGATCAAAACCGAGAATTCGCTGGCTTTCTCACCACCTTAGACACCCAGTCCATCACCAAGTTTGTTCCTTTATTTTATTTCGTGCTTTTGAATTTTTTTTTAAAATTTAATACTTACATACCTCTGAATTTTCATTGGTTGGGCCTAAGTTTTCATTTTAATGTCATTTTTGTATTCATAGAATCGGAGGAGGTGTTTTTTTAATTAGTCAATAGGGTGAGTGATATTTTTGTTTTGTTTCTAAATTTTAGGAAATTAGTAATAACCATGAGAATTTGGCAACTTTTTGGCACACAAATTATAGCCCAAATGAATTTGGTTCTTACATCGCTTCTGTGAAATGTAACTTTGTAATTGTAGCATATTTAGATATTTTGGAATGGGTTTTAACTTGCAACTTGGATGGTTGAAGAAAAATGAAATTTATGAGTTGCAAATTACGCCAGTAATTTTGTATGTGGCAGTAAAGGCATCAATTTTGTGGTTCATCAACAATCTGTTGATTCTTCTATCTTGATTTCTAATTTTGTTTTTGTTGTAATACATTTAATCTATATTTATATTTAAACAAAGGCATGTTACCCGCGTTGCTGATGTAAAAGAGGATGCTTTGGAAGCTTTGTATGAAAAGCGCTTAAAAAGAAAATCCTTGCAAAAAGAAAAAGAGGATCCTGGGATTCAAGTTGATCGTGTAGATGCTCTTCCTGTTAAAACCTTAGATGGACAACTCTACTATCGAACAGGTTCCTCATTTTTATTTTATTTTTTTCTAGTTTGGATAATGGTAATTGGGGGAGTTGACTTTGGAAGGTTTTTGGATGTACACAGAGTGTGCATATTTTAAATTCGTGTGATGACACAGCAACGAAGGCATCAAAAGCATCTGAAAACGATCCCACTGAAGAGGAAGCAAGTGGTGCTGCAGATAAAAGCATAGTTAAGCTGACAAAGGCTGAAAGGAGGGCAAAGCTTAAGAAAAGTAAGAAAGAGGCTAAGAAACAAGGAAAGGAGGCCGAACCCGAAGTCGAACAAACTCCACAAGAAGCAGTGCTGGTATCATCTGATTGGACTAGTTATTCTTCTGTTTTGCTTTTGAGTTTTAGTATACTGTATTGTCTATGTATCATATAAAGTACTTATTTATTTATTTATTTTTGGTTAGGCTGAGGTTAAAGAAGATCTTACAGCTGAAGAAGCCTTTGAAAGTAAGAAGAACAAACTTGCAGAGCTGGGAATCGCTCTGCTTGCTGATCCAACTTCCAATACAAAATCTCTGAAGGAGATATTACAGATCTGTAAAGATAATAATCATGCCATTGTCAAACTTGGGCTCCTATCTCTGTTGGCTGTTTTTAAAGACCTTATTCCTGGGTATGACCACTGTTCTGTTCCATGATGTCTACTGTTTTTTTATTAATTCTCACTGGAAGAATACACTGAGCACATATAAATATGTGCTAAATATTTCAAATTAAGAATAAACATTGGTATTATATAATTTAGGCTGTTGAGGTGTTGGATGGCCTGTGTCTGTGTTGACACATTAAATTTATGTCCTTGCCCACAAACCATTGTGCATGTTTACTCGTGATCAACATTGTTTTTCTGTCTGCATTCCAGTATTGGAATATGACTCTTATATGAATGATTTGCAGATATCGGATTAGGCTTCCTACTGAGAAGGAGCTAGAAATGAAGGTCTCAAAGGATGTTAAGAAAATGCGGTTTTATGAATCAACACTGCTATCTGTATACAAGGTAGGCAATATTTTCTATGCCTGGTTACTTGTGATGATTTTTGTTTCTTACTTCTAATTTCTGATGGATCTGCTACACCTTGAACAAAATAAATTATTAGTTAGTTTTATTAACCTAGTGCAACTTGATTTTGAATCATGCCAATTGCCATTTGTAAATTTGTTTCTTTTTCGTAGTGGTCATTTTGTATTGTTTAGATTTTGGGGATGTGAAGTTTGTTTTGTCTGGGTCATGGGACCAATCATTGAATGTACACTGGGTTTATTCATTGTTTAAAAAATATCTAAAGACATGTAAAACATAGTTGATTTGTGTAAATTTGAAGAACAATTATGTTTTGAAGAGTGGTAGACAACAATCTAGGAACTGATGGAATTGATGATTTGAACGGGGTGGTAGAAGAAAGATGTATGGAATTAATGATTGGAACATATGTATGACCAGTTCTTGTGACAGTTGTTGTAGCAGGTTTAGGGATCTTACCCGCCTATTCATGGTATATTAATATTTCAGTTAACTTGTGTGGTTGTCCTTATAAGTCATGTTATATTTTTCTTTTATGCACATTCTCAGGCATACCTGCAGAAGTTGGCAGCATTAGAAAAGCAGTCCTCATTTCAGCATGTGGCATTTCGCTGTATCTGTACATTGCTTGATGCAGCTCCCCACTTCAACTACCGGGAGAGCTTGTTAGGTGTTGTCATCAGAAACATAGGCTCCCCAGATGATGTTATAAGGTTTTGCTCTATCTTTAGTTTTTGTTCCCTAATGTATCATTTTGGTAAGTTGTCTTACAAGGTGTCTTTGAAGGTCAGGATGACGCAAGAATTTGTAAAATGATTGTATCTTCAAGTCGGAGTACACAGTTTAACTCTAAATATGAGCATTAGCCAGCATTTATTCTACTTTAGGATTGAGCAAAACATTCAGGTCGAAATATTGTTCTTTGTTTAGATTTTCAATTTAAACTTTTATCTGACAAAGGAAAAATATTCTAAACTTGGTTAAGGACTGGTGATGTTTCTGGCTGCAGACTGCATGGGTGTTAAAACACCCTCTTTTGCTTAGAAACAGTTCAACATTGCCAAGGTGTTGACCTTTTTTGTCAAAAAAATTACACATGGTTGTTATTTTCATAATTATTTTTAAGAATATTGTTCTCACATAAAGATATGTTTAAATGCGAACAGATATCTATATAAATATAAAAAAATTGCAGATGTATTGATGTGTCATCGTTTTTGGGATGAAGTTGACATAACATGTTGTTCATGTCCATGTCCCATGTGTAACACGTCTCTCATATCTGTGTTGATACATGTCACTTTCTCGGTTTATTGACATGATAATTGTGTCCATGATCATAGCCAATGTTTTCTTTTACTATTTCATCCAACTATGAA